TCTGGAAAGAGAATGTAGCAATTTAGTTAATAGGGTTGATAAGTGGATACATAGTTCAGTTCTGGTGTAACCTCCTATAGACTGTAAGATCGTTTGAGCAGAGTCCTCTTCAACCTATCATTCCTGTAAGTTTTTATTGTAATTGTCCTATTTATAGTTAAATCCCCCCTCTAATAATATTGTAAAGCGCTACGGAATCTGTTGGTGCTATAGAAATGGCAATAATAATAATAATAACCACAAAATTGAGTTTATCAATAATGTTTAAAAAAAACTTAACCAAGTACATGCATCCACCAACAATCTTACAAAGGAAAAGATCCCTAGATCTATACATGCATAAGATCATATGAAAAAATTGAATACAGCCGTATATCTACAAAAACAGAAGAGGGAAATCCAGTGTCTGTAAATCAGTGGCGTAGCTAGGGGGGAGGCGAAGGAGGCGGTCTGTCCCAGGTGGCCAGTTTTTGGGGGACGGCAGGGGCACACACACTGAGACAGGATCATCAGATGGCCTATGATAATGTCTTAGGGGCATTTGATAATGTCAGCGCTGGGAGGAATTGACAGCCATTCGGTCACTTCCTCCCAGCTAACAAAGAGCCACGCAGGAGGAAAACAGTAAAGAGGGGGGCAGCAGAGAGTAGGGGAGCATAGCTTGGGAGATCCTCTGACATCCAATATCCTGAGACAGCTTTCCTTACCCTAGGGAAAGCACCCTCCTGCACTCTAAAGGTAGGAAACAGGAGGGTGGGTAAAAATGTAAATTTTGTGTGTTTGTGTATTGGTGTGTATCTTGTCAATGTCTCAATGTGTGTATCAGTGTGTGCATGTCCATCCGTATCAGTGTGTCTGTTTATCTCTGTGTCTATTTGTGTGTATCTGTGTCTGTCTGTATATCTTTGGTTCAATGTGTGTATCAGTGTGTCTATTTGTGTGTATATGTGTCTGCGTGTGTATCTTTGTCTGTCTGTGTGTCTATTTGTGTGTATCTGCATGTCTGCGGGGTGCAATGTCCTGTCCTGTTGGTCAATTCATGTAGTGTACCGAGCTCCACCAACACTTCCGTTTGGCCCACCAACTCTGGAGCATGTCACAGACTGTGTGGAGGGAGCAGGGATATGGGACTCTTTAGTGATGAAAAAGGGCTGAGAGTGGCGGCAAACTCAGGGACTGCCCCAGGCAGCAAAAGATCTAGCTATTGCTGTAAATGTATCACGTTTATTGTAGAAAATAATTAAAAAAGTAAAAAACTTGTATTGTATTAGAGCCATTCCCCTAACAGTTTCAATGTCCTTTTTCAAAAACAGTGCATTCTGATTTATTTAACCCCTTAAGGACCAAACCTCTGCAATAAAAGGGAATCATGACATGTCACACATGCCATGTGTCCTTAAGGGGTTAAAGAATAAACTGTGTTGAGTTAAATTGACAGTTTTGCAAGCATTAAAGGGACACTATAGTCACCAAAACAACTTTAGCTTAATGAAACAGTTCTGGTGTATGGATCATGCCCCTGCAGTCTCAATACTCTATTCTCTGCCATTTATGAGTTAAATCACTTTGTTTATTAACCCTAGTCACACCTCCCTGCAAGTCACATCCTTCCTAAACACTTCCTGTAAAGAGTCATCTAATGTTTATCCTTCCTTTATTGCAAGTTCTATTTAATTTAAATTTTCTTATCCCCTGCTATATTAAAAGCTTGCTAGACCATGCAAGAGTCTTCTGTATGTGATTAAAGTTCAATTTACAGAGCAAGAGATAAAAATTGTTTAAGGTAAATTACATCTGATTGAAAGTGAAACCATTTTTTTCATGCAGGCTGTGTCAATCAGAGCCAGGGGAGGTGTGGCAAGGGCTGCATAAACAGAAACAAAGTGATTTAACTCCTAAATGGCAGTGAATTGAGCAGTGAAACCTGAGAGGCATAATATATACAACAACACTGCTTTATTAAGTAAAAGTTGTTTAGGTGACTATAGTGTTCGTTTAAGGGGTTATGAAGGCCTCGGAATGCCATATTTTTGAAAATATTACCATGCTACCAATGCGGCTGCAGCTATCAAATTCAATCTGGACTTTAATAAACCAAAATGGTTGGAAGTTGAAACTGATAAATCATATCCACATTCAATCAAAGATTTAATTTGGCTTTCAAGTTCAAAGAGACGGAAATTATACGAAATGTTTCCATCCACAAAAATTTCAATAAAAGCATGAGATATTCTTTTTAAAACTATAAAACCCAGGGCCATTCCACTTTCCATTTTGAAACATTATCTGCCACTATTGGATTTAAATAATTGACATGTGAAATCAATTTATAGCATTGAGAATTTTTTTGCAAATAATTCATTGTTGACATTTAACAAATTAAGAAACAAAATATGATTTGGAGGATGATCTGGCGCCCCAGTACTCTGTGATTTCCAGAGCCTTGCAAGAAAAATTTGATATTCCCCAATTAGCAGTGGTATATCTTGGTTTTGTGCTGCCCTAGGCATGACAAAACACAGGCACCTCCCCCCCCCACTCTTCCCTCACTCCGCCTTCTAAATACACATACACACTCACTGACAGACACATATACACTCTGTGTCAGACGCACACATTCACTGACAGACACACATACACTAGCTAACAGACATACACACTAACTAACAGACACATACAGTCACTAGCAGACACACACATTCACTAACAGACATGCATACACTCTCAATAACAGACCCACACAAACTAACAGACACACACATAGTAACACACTCCCTAACAGACACACACACTAACTCACAGACACATACACACACTCACAGACACACACTCACTAACAGACACACACACACTCACTGACACACACTCACTAACAGACAAACATTCACTAGCAGACACACATACTCACTAACAAACACACACACACACACACATTAACATACTCACATTTAAAGAACAATTAAATCCCCCACAGCCTCCTTACCTTTAGGAATGCTGGGGTGGATTATCACTTTCCCTGGAGTCCAGTGGGGCTGCAGTCGGCGAGGGAGCATTAATCCTCCTGTTCAGCTCCCTCGTGTGCCGCGTAGTGATGCCGGAGCCGGAATGACATCATATTCTGGCTCTGGCATCACTGCACGCGAGGGAGATGAACAGGAGGATTAGTGCTCCCTCACTGCACGCCCGAAAAGTGCCGCAGTTGCCAGCCTGTGGGGGGCCTTAGGTTGGCTTTTTTTGCTGACCCCCAGAAAGTGCCACCCAAGGCAAATGCCTTGTTTGCCTCGGGGTAAATACACCCCTGCCAATTAGATAAAAAATGTGAACAATTTAACAAATTCTGATTTGAACTTTTTAAAACTTATTTAACCCAATCAGAAGAATACAATTTCTTTATGCTACTCTTATTTGTTTCCAACCAATACAGGCAAACTGGACTTTATGTTGGCATGGGAGAGGGATCTGGGCCTTCAGTGGGAACTGGAAAAATGGTTTAGGATATCTACATCCCAAGGTCAACATCAAGGTATAACACAGTGCTCTGGCCATGTTGAGAAGCATTACGAGATCTTGTACCATTGGCACCTGGCCCCTTCAAGGTTACACAAAATGAATAAAGATTTTTTCAGATAGATGCTGGAGGGGCTGCGGTGATCTTGGGACACTGTCTCACATTTGGTGGCACTGAAAATTAAATATTTATGGAAGAGTATCCATTCCTTAATTAAAATAACAGATCCATCCATTGTGACACTCACACTAGACTTGGGATTGTTTAAGAGATTCCCTGATGAAACCAATAGAATAGATATCATGATATGCCACATACTTGTTGCAACAACGTCAATCATACCCTGCTATTAGAAGTCGTTAACCATTCCATCCATAAAGGAAGTGCTTCTCTTGGTATTGGAAAACAAAAGATATGAATTGGCATTGAGGCAACCACCCCCGGTACACTTGGGAAGATGATATCAAGAAACAATATCGGATATAATTAATCTCACATACCCTGCAAAACCATTTGGTAACTATTGAATTTTCTTTTTATTTATTTCAGTATACTCTGTATTATACATCATGACTTTAAACATCTATCATTTCCAATTTTGATAGATAAGGATGGAATCCACCTCTTTTTTCCCCCTTTTAATTTGATTTGTTTCCCCTTCCCATCTTGTTACCCCATATTATAACTGTTGAGTTTCTATTTTATTCCAATATAGTATTGTTCTATAAAAAGCTGTTAATAAAAACAATTTGAACGAAAAGAATTGAAAACACTCACAAGATTGTCAAGATTGCAAATCAGGGAACTCAGCCCCTGGATGATGATGTTAGTATGTTGTCCCTACTCCATACTAAAGCAGGTATGGAGGCGTGATCCAATGCAAAGGATACAGGCTCTCACCCGGGATCTCACCAGTCTGTGATCCACCTCGTAGTCTCGAAATCAGTAAAAATTCTAAGAAATTGCCTTATCAGGTTTTGTGAACAGAGGTTCACATCCTCAGAGGTTACCTTTGGACTCTCAAATGAGATATAAATATATGCTTACTAATTGGCACATAATATGAAAATTTGTAAAATATACCATAGCTAATCATAAAGCATCCATCCACATAAAAAATATGTAAATGAAGGTAATTTTAACATGCTTGTTGGTTCAATTAAATAAACCATGGGCTGCAGATGGGGGCCCTAATATTACATTATCTGCCTATTGTCCCCTCTCCAGGCAGCACCCATCGGCTGCAGGTGGGTGTCCTAATTAATTATAAAATTGCGAGAGGACATGCCATTGTCCAACGCCTCCAAATAATAGTATGCCCCTCTGTGTGGCTAGGGGTCCCCAAGCCCTATAACTGACCTTGTAATTTTTCAAATACCCATAAAACATGTATATAGAAGGCACTGTTGTACTCGTGAGACATCACTGAACGCAAATATGTGTATTTTATTGTAGTAAAATAGTATTATGACAGTCAAGACAGATAACATGACATGCAGTACTAAGAAAGAGACATTCCTTAATTTCTCACACTATTTTAGACTTTATTCATAAAAAATTATGTCTCATATATAAATATTTTATGTGAAATTAAAGCTCTGTTTCTGAACAGAAATCTGTATAATAAGTGTGGGTGCACTTAATACAAAAGAGGTAAATTATGGTTAAACAGACATATAGTCAAATTCCAGGTTTTGTTTTGATCAGAACTTGTACTTTTGCATCCATCCCTAATATATACTGTAGTGGAGCGCTTGTTTAGCAGGGACTTTTCTCCACTGGTTTTCTCCAAGATGACTCAGGAACAAGGAAGGTAATCCACAGGAACAGGTAAATACAGCAAAGCAATACAAGATTCTCCCAACACCTCCCCAGTATCTGGACGACACTCAATTTAGAGGGAATAATTGAAGGTTTAATGCTGGCACATTGCCTTTTATGTGATTTTCCCCACAAGGTTACCACCCAGGTGGACCTTGTGGGGCACCGAGATACAGAGTTCACAGACCAATGAAACAGGGTTATACATGGAGACACTCCCATACAGTATGTACAAGCCTGGTAGATAATGTAATAACTCAAATATCTCCAGGCAGGAAAAAACACATATTTCACATTTTCTAGAAGTAGCCCAAAAACATTACATATTCCCATAAATGGCACATCCCTGGATAGCTCTGATCTGGGTGAACAACATATCCAAAAATCACCCAGATCAGAGCAGGGGTTCATGAATTCTGTGGAAGTCACATTTGACCGACAGCACGCTTGATTTCATGCCTAAAAGAGTTCCATAGAATTAGGCTGTGTGGCCGGTCTATCTTCTTAGTCACATAATGTGTAAATTTCACGAACGGATCCGTTCGTGCATACCTTTATTATACTATCTCGTTCGGTAGATTGTTTTTACCGAATATCGCTTTGTTTGTGCACTTTTAGGTGAACTTCGAGGGAGGTGAAAGTCCCAGCGGTGTATGCGCCATTGAGTGCCCAATTTTAATTCCATGCACTCGACAACCAAACACCACTGTCTTTGTTCGTGTCCCAAGATGGCTGCCACAATGTGTTCGTCTATACGAACAATGAATACCCAGCCGACCGCTTAGAACGTTCATGTGGTTGCGGTTTGTGGAGGTGTGAACTGAGTTAATGAGCGGCACACTACATAGGTGAGTGGTCTGCTGTTCGGTAGTTTGTTCGGTTGTTGTACAAAAACGTGGGAACCATTTAAGGGAATGGATTTTGACGAATGGCCAGGCGAAACAGTAGAAAACATAGGTAACAAAGCCAGGGGAGTAAGTCTTGCACAGTTAGGGTTACTTTCTCATACAGGGGGTCAATGAGAGGGGAAAACAAAAGGGATACAGACAGCCCGGAGCTGGTATAATTAGGATAGAAGGGTCCATTCTGCTACATATACATTATTGTCAAACGGTGGCAAAGGTAGGACATACGTACAAATAAAAAGAGGTGTGCTTTTTTCTGTGTTTTGGTCAAAACAATGTTTTAGGTTATCTTGACTTTCTGTGATAAGTGATTCTTTTTTGCCGAAAGTAATTTGAAATATTAATTAAACTAACTAATTCTGGTTAATCATTCAGCTCTATTACAAAGGAATAAAGACAGAAAGAATTAAGGAAAAATGAAACAAAAGCAATCATATAAGTGAAATAAAGCAATGAAAAAATACTTAAAATATTATTTGTAAAGAAAAGCTAATGGCTGTCTAGCTTCTTGGGGCTATGGCTAAGTATCTATACAATTTGCATAAGCATTAACATGCAATATTATGTATGCATTGTTCACTTTTTACAGTCCACACACACAGCCAGATTAAAATAAGACTTGGACGTGGGCCCAGGGACAGAGATGGCAGACTGGGACAGGGCCCAGGGACAGACGATCAGACATTCATTATAATATTATCACAGGACCCTGCAAAAAAAATAGTGTAACACTGCAGTGCTTTACAGGACAAAGCCCTTCAGCAGTACCCTAGTCCCAGCAACCCTAAAATGGAAATATCTGAATTTGAAATCTGAAGGCAGAAGTGTAGCATTTTGTCATGAGCAGTGCTTTGATTATTCACAAGCACCAATACATGTACCTACATGTGTACAAATGTGCTTACACATACATTGTGTGTGGATGTATGTGTAGGTGTGCATGTACCAACAGTAGAGATAACATACTATCCTACCCACAACAAATGGTGTCCAGTTGCGGTTCTAGATTCCTACCTTCAAAAACCTTCCAGGAATTAAATACCGTAATGCATTTAAGGAAACGTCTGGTTAATTTGTATATATTTGTCGACTGTATTAAATCTTTGATTATTCATTTTTGCCCTCTTTATATACAGGCCTACCGTATCTTCGGTCTCGGCACACCACAACCGACTTGCTCCCTTAATACTATCCTACGCTTTGTCAGGGTATTTATATCGGCAGACATCTTGTGCTATGATAGAAACTAAAAGTGTATATTCTAAGTCACTCTGAACAGACCAGACTCCATTTTGTTATTCCAAGTTAACAAAAAAAAAAAAAGACACAAGATTTCTTTCTGTAAGACTAGCCACTTTGTCAGAGCTAAAATGCATAGCATAGTATAAACAAGTGATAAGAGGAATATAATCAAATCTAAACCCAGACAATTGTGACAGAGAAGATTAAATAATTTAATATTTAACTGTCTATATATATAAGGTACCATTGTATGGAAAAGGGTAAACTTAGTTCATGATCTGTCATATCAGAAATTATGGCAGGAATTGCAGACGCTAAGTCTGGACAAAATTTAAGAAACCCTTTGAAATTTTAAATTATGGCACTATAAAGATAAGCAAAATGACGTCAAAATAGCCACCAGGAAAAGTTAACTCTTTCCTGGATAGGTATGTTTAGTGGGACAAGACTGCCCTCTATAGATCAAATAACTAATTTGCGATCTGGAAGATAACCACACCTCTAGTGCTTCTATTGGGTTATCAACTGATGACGTACAGAGAGTCTGGCCCTTTAAAAGTTAAGACAAAGGGAAGATAGAGATATGCAGATGCAAGAGATATGCAAAGAAAAAGAGGAGAGAGGAATTGGAAGTTGGGGACTCCAACCTCCATGCAGAGAGACATCCAAATAAGTTCCTGAGACTACCAATCGGATGAAATATCTACTCAACTGGTAATTATACTGGTTTCATTTAATTAATTAAATTAATTAAAATGTATTAATAGCATTATATATGACTGGATAAAGCACGGTCAGATTTCCATATTAAGAAATCTTAGTTAACTAAAAATATATATAGTTATAAACATTCCATTCTGCAGGTGGAATTAAGAATAATTATATATTGATGTGATATTATCACGTGTTAGCATACCGCTGTTTTTATCCAGGTGTATTGATTTGCTCTAAATTAAGATAAGATATCTTTTAGACAAATTAAAATCTGCTTATATAAATATGGTAGATTCTCTTATTGGATGGTTCCAGGAAATGACTAATGAACTGGTTTAAATGTTATTTTATTTAAAATTACATAAGAATAGATCTTAACTACCTAGGAGATCTAGCCAGCATTGAAAGGGTTATTCTAACTGTTAGCCAGGGTTTTATGGCCCTTCGCTGCTGTGAAAAGTTTCGCTTTCTCTCTGTGTTAAGGAAAGAGTCATAAATCGTCAAAGTCTTGACAGCTAATGCTGTTTAAGCCATTGAAACGTATATAGCCATTCCTTTGTATTGCATACCATTTTATACTGGATATTCATTGATTATTGTCATGCATGTTACATGTTATTATTAATTAATTTGTCATATAAATAAAATCTATTTTTATACATTGTGATATTATTATATGAAATACATTCCACTTAACACGATAAACGTTCTTTGGGATCTGAGAATTGAAATAGTGGGCAATTCTCAACTGTTACTATTATTATCCCATAAATATCCCCACATATTGGAGGCACGGTGCTGAGATCGTTTAAGTTGAAATTATATTTCATATATAATAATATTGGTGTAATTCATGCAATTTAATCTTGATATAGAAAAGAGTTTTGTATTGAGATTAAATCACTGTATAGAAATATGGCTGAATCCAGTAATACATCTGTAACAGATAATACTGAAATAATTGAAGACCTAAGAAAACATGCTCTAGTTCATATTCATAAACATATGAAAAATGATGCAACCTATGAGGTTTGGTTGAAAAGCATAGAATGGGAAGCTAAACACACCATTCTAACTGATGAACACATCATCATATATCTTAAAGAAATTGCTGAACAAAAGAACATAGAAAGGAAAATGGCGTACATAATACACTCTTGGCCTTTCTTTATGACAGCACTTCTTAAGGTGTGTGATGAAAACAAGTCACTGAATGCCAAATTGGACACGTACAGTGACGATCTGGGCATTCAAAATGGGAAATACCAAGATTTACTTGCTGAGCATAAAACTCGTCAGGCTGATCATGAAAAAGAAATGGAAGCTTTGACGGATAAATATGCACAGGAAATAAATCAGCTTAAAATGCAATTGGATGAGTATGAAAAGGAGAGTCAGAAATTAGACAGTGAGGTTGGTAGTCATCATTCTGTGCCAAAAAGTTGCACAAAAATGCAAGAAAAGACTATTTGTAAATCCCCTCCTTATTATGATTTTCCCACACCAAACCAGGTTTTCATAAAACAGTCTGTAAGTAAAGATGTGAGTAATTCTGAGAAAACACCTGTAGATTCTTGGCAATCTTGGGCAGAACAGTTTGAAAAGACTGTCCTGGCCAAGCTTGACAGAGGGAATCAGATTCAAGGTGATAGGAATGAAAACAGACATGGTTCTGTACACTGGCAGGATTCTGATGCAGATCAGAATTGTGACAGTGAACAAGAAGCTCAGAGTGATGGGAGTGAAAGTGATTGCACTGTCCATTCTGAAGGCCATGTAACTGATATGCCATCTGCACTGTTGTACGGGTCTAATTCCTCTTCAGCAGACAGATCGCATAGACGTTTACCCAAACACAGAAACAGAGGTCGTAATTCAACGACGCCTGTTTATGAAACACCAAAGGTCATCAAATTCCTTAGAGAGACTGTCCCACAATTTTCTAGAGGTTCAGGAAACATATCTGAACATCTGGAAAATTATGATAGAGCAATGAATTCATTGGGCATGTATGATGACATTCATAAGAAATGGTTCATTACATGGACCTTTGATTCAATGTGCCGTGT